TATGGCAGAAATAATGTCTTATCCAGCTTTTATTGTTGCGTGATCTTTGCCGAAATTGGAATGTATTAATAAATTTTAGCAAATTTCCTAGAGACCAAGTTTCGTACACATCCGTTACAGCACTCGTGAACCATCCTGGTGGTAAAATGGTCTTTGCGAGAGTATCTAAAGATTGCTTCTTGCTCTCTTGAAAGATACAATATTTTCCTAAACGCTGATTTATATACAGATTAAGTTTGCCAGAAGGAAAAAACACAAAGTTTCAGACACACCTTGTATTTTCGCCACTTTTGTTCTGTGTTTGAACAGAAAGAAAAATATTCTGATATCACAGACGTATAACCGGATTAAGTATATAAACTCTCATAAGCAACAGGGGTACCTATACTTGCTTAAGAATGCCTGTATAATTAAAAAGATATTATCTATATTTATTAGACATTTTAACCTCTCACTGAGGCTAGCTCTGTTCCTGGATTTACATAATTTTGTTGAATAAGTCTGCTCCAATATAATGACTTCATTACTGAGTTCTACCTAGTCAAAACCACATACTTTTGATAAACTGAGAACACGACCAAAAAATACTTTATTTTGAACGTAACTAAAGAGAAGCATATATTATTATTAATATTAGTAGTACTAGAGAGATACGTTTCTGAGAATTTTGGCAGATATGAGAGCAGGCCTTTTTATACAATTAGCATTCCATGAGATATCACTCTCTCTCTCTCGAACACTATTACAAATCTAATGAATCTAAAACTTGTAGCAGAGATCATGGCACTGCACTCATTTCCACACCTTTGGGAATTTCCCCCCTCCACCCTTCACCAATAAGGATGTGTCACAATTGCTACAGTAAGAGGAGTCTTCTATTTAGTAATTTCAGAAGGTTTTTTCCTCACTCACCTCCATGTAATGAGCGATACCACCACTTCTCCATGCGACTCTATGATAACGTGCTTTATGCCTTAATTAAGGCCGAACACGAGTCCAATTCGGAGCCTTAGGGCAGGCAGGCAGGCGGACAGACAGACAATATTGTCTCGTATAAAATTTTCCTGTCTTAAACTTAATTTAGTATCAACAGTAACAAGCCTCGAGGTGTACAAAATGTCATTAAATGAAATACTTATCCAGACTTTTTTAAGTCATCTGAAAGACGGCAAGAATTTAATTACTCTCAAACACAAAATTACACGACCTCAATTGTTTTGTTTTCATTATTCGGCTTTTAGTTTCTGCCGTCTTTAGAACGCATCAACGGATTTGTCAAAATTTTTTAAAAAAATTTATCTTTGAAATATGAAAATCCCAGTTTCAAAATACAATTCTTCATTCCTACACAAAATTTAATATACAAATTGTATACATGTGAATTCTAAGAGTTTATAAATAATATGTTGAATGATTAACAAACAGACTTGCACTTGACAGTGTTGTGTGAATTGATGATGAAGGAATTCAAGATGCTGTATTATGTATAAGACCTCATTAATTGAGGAACCATAAAAAACTTGTCGCAAGGTTTTCGAAGACGAGAACGAACTTGGGTGCTGTTCTGAGGGCAGTCATTTCAGCAAAAGCATCCACTCAGTTTACAGTGTACTTCAGAATACAAGATGTCAATTTTTAATCGAATGAGACCTCGAAGTATTTACAGTTTCTTTAATCAAAGTTTGATCATAGAACTTTATATAATACAAAGCATTATGCTGCAATATGGCACTCTTATCTGCCCTAGAAATAACAGGACCGGGTCTCTGCCGGACTCATTCTGTGCACAAATCTTTCACTCTATGATCTGATCTCTTCCAGGCCGTCTCTGCAAATAACTGGTCCGTTAGAGACCGGTTTAGGTACAGACCGAGTCAAGCAGAGTGAAGCAGAGACCGGATGAAGCTCAGTGTCAAGCAAAGACAGGCGCAGATCGTGTGAGGCAGAGACCGGTTCAAGCACTCGCCGAGTCAAGCAGACACTGAATAGACCCGATGAGGCACAGACCTTGTAAAGCAGACACTGAGGCACAGAACGTTTCAAGCAGAGACCGGTTGAAGCACACACTCTTGCAAGCAGAGCCAGGTGACAGACCCAGATCGGCAGAGACTGGTAGTGGCAGACAGTCTGGCCGACCAGGTGTGGCAGAGAAAAAGTCCGTTAGAGACCAGTTATGATAGTGATCGGGTAGGAAAAACAAAAATTGTATTTCAATTTTTCAAAATTTTCGAAAAATCAAAAAATGATGCAAAATGTCTTAAAAATTCTAAAAAAAATTGAATTTGAAATTTTTCAAAAAAATTTAGTTTTGTGCGCTTTTTGGACATTTTCCTACATTTTTTATTTTTCAAACATTTTGAAAAAAATTTAAAATTTTGTCGTTGGTACCCTTCCAAAATTTTGAAATTTTCTAAAAGAATTTAAAAATTGTTATAAATGTCACGAAAAGCGAAAATAACTAAAAAAAATTAAATTTTCGAAAAAAATATTGAAGTTGCAATTTTTCAAAAAAAAATTAGTTTTGTGCGCTTCTTCGATATTTTCTCACATTTTTTATTTTTCGAAAATTGTGAAAAAATTATCAACATTCTCCCCTACCTAACCCTGTCAGAACCGGTGTCTCTATCACATCACCCCGTATGAAGAAACCAGTCTCTGCCGGACTCGTTCTATGCACGAATCGTTCTCTCTGACCCAATCTCTGCCAGGTCGTCTGTACAGAGAACTGGATCGATAGAGACCTGGTGAGGCATAGACAAGCACCTTTAATAGTTTCAGAACATGAGGTACCCCTGATGATGGCATCTATTTTAATACCTTAATACTTCATTGTGATTGCATATTATACATACTATATAAGATGCTATATTAATAGGTTAGCTTGTACATTTTTCCAACATTATCAATACCCAGAACCTAAGATGGATACAAATAAATACAAACTGTTCACACATACCCATTGTGGCCATCCATCAGTCATAATTCAGAATGGGTACATTTCTTTTTAACTAACCCAGTTTAAAGAGTGACTCAAAGAGAATCAGCAACATTCGCAATTATCAGCGGCGAGAGTCACAAGTAATCATCACCATTATCTACTGGCCTTGCAAGACTGAAATCAAGGGCCTCTTCTGATGTGAGGAATCTAACATCTGAATCATCTGCCATTTGCTGCTGCCTGTATACATGCCTCCTGTAATGACAGAGAAAGTTTCAATGTTACTAACTAAAAATAATCAAACATGCTTTCAAATTTAAATGAGGCAGTTTGCCATTTAACCATATCATAGACCATAAAGAAAATATCTGTAAATATTACTTCCTGTTAATCAGCAGTGCCCCTTTTTTGGTCACTGAAGAGGTACAGTGTGTCCACAAAGTCCCTTCAGGGTTCTGAAAAATTGTGGCGTGCAAATTGTTACTCCCATGTTCAACAATACTCAAAGAGCTACATATGAGGTTGAGGTTATGTGCATACAAGGTTCAGTTGGTGCAACAGTTGAAACCTGGTGATGGTATAGCACGTCAACATTTTGCAGAATAAATGCTCGACCGCATCGGCTTCTTGAAAAAAAATCATTCTCACAGACGAGGCAACATTTCGTGTCTCGGGTAAAGTTCACAGGCATAATGTGCGCATATGGGGCACTGAAAACCCACGTGTTGTTAGGGAGCACATACGTGATAGTCCGAAAGTGAACATGTGGTGTGGTGTGATGCATGACCAGGTTATTGGACCATTCTTTTTTCAAGAGCGGACGATCAACATGAACACCTACCTGGACATGCTGAAACTGTACGCAGTACCACAAATTGAGCACTTACAGCCACATATCATTCTGCAACAATACGGTGCTCCACCTCATTGGGGTCTGCAAGTACGCGCGTACCTAGACAGGACATTTCCAGGAAGATGGATCGGCAGAGACGGTCCAATGCCTTGGGCCTCCACGTTCACCAGACATCACACCACTGGATTTTTTCCTGTGGGGTTACGTCAAGAGCAGTATGTTCCGAACTCCAGTTAACGGACTTGACCCGATGACCCGTATTAGGAATGTGATCTCGGCTATTCCAGCGGACACGCTTCGCAGAACGTGGCAAGAGCTCGAATATCATCTGGACGTTCTCCGTGCTACCAGGGGAGCCCACATCGAGGTCTACTGAGTTAAGTAAAAGACTTCCAGAGTTTCACTGTAATCTGCATGTGGCTAGCTCAATTGGTTTGCGCGCCACAATTTTTCAAAACCCTGAAGGGACTTTGTGGACACACTGTATATTCACCTTAGCACGTGGATTTCCAACCACAGACTGTAGTCCTGTTTGGCAAGGGAAGGAAATTTGGGAGAATTAACAGATGATGGAGATTGGTTGAGATGTTAAAGTATGGAAGCCAACTCCAGGATTCTATTATTCATATCTATACATGACATGATTTCTCACTGAAATGTACAGATAGCTAATGTTAATGCACTCTTTGGCCTCAGCACTATATGAAAGTAAGGCATTTAGTTGAAATTCCCTCAGGATAACACCCATAAGCAGGGGAGATTCCTTGAATGACACAGGCAATGAGAAAATATCCCCAGTGTCAGTGTTGTTGATTAAATCATGCTTATTCATACCACAGTGAATCACTACACTAACAGAACAGTAACTCACTATTTGCTAGCTGATGGTGTGAAATTTTGGAGAAATGTTGCATCTAAGAAATGAGCAATAGATATTTAGTCTTCGTTTTAGATTTCTAAGCATTAAGACATAAGTCTCACACAGGCTGAATATTCTTAATCCACACATATCCTATTTGAAATATTTTCCATGAGCTGCCAATGCTAAAATCCACCTGTCAGATATTTACATACTTTTACAAGTAATTTATATTAATCACAGTGTCAAATCATGAGAAATAACATAGCTGACAGGCTATTAAAAACTAAACAGCATTAACACTTCAAAAAACCAAATTTCATATCACTCATCTACATTAATAGCATTGTAACTGATCACGCAGGAAAATCAACATACAGTGGATGAAGGAATAAGATATGAGACATGGTTAAATACATTTGTAATACCACTGGCCACAAGGCAGAGCAGTTTCTGAATTACAAATGGCTCAGAATTTCTGCACAGAACAAAATCTTTTAAAAAATTATCTGTGACAAGAAGAATAAAATTAACTCGAAGACTTGTCTGCATGTAACAGCTTTCATGTTTTCTGAATGTTACTGGGAAACCTGACTCAAACTAGGAACCTCTGAAATATTCATCTTAATTATATTTCCAACCTATTTTATTTTCTCATTTATTTTTGCACTGGTATTAACTGAAAGCCTATCAAGATCAATGACTTTTAGTCAAGAACACACTGCATTGGAAATAAAATTCCATAAATCTGACGCGTTCTATACGTAACGGGTACGCATATCCGAGTACATTCTACGTCAGTTAACTTGCATATCACAATGAAGGGAAGAGCATTGTTTAGTATCAGATGAAATTAAAATCTTTAAATATTGAATAAGGATTACCTGTTTCTCACCACAAAGTAACTGGCAATCACCACTGCAATAATGACCAGTATTACTGCAACCAATATTCCAACAATTCCTGACATGGACAGGAAATCTTTCTGCCTAGGATCTGGTCCTCTCCTTGCTTGTATCCATTTTTGATCTCCATAAAACAAAAATTATACCTCATTTGGAATATAAAATGGTTATTTTTTATGAAAATCCTGTTCAAAACTTTCTATAAAGTCAAACAAAACATTTGAAATTACTTGCAAAATGTTCTTTAGACATTCACCAAATAGGTGAGATTTAAGTTTTCATACTAGTGAAAATGTGGATTATAATCTAGGCTGCATAGTCTTGAAGGATGTTACAAAACTAAATAGCATCACAGCCCAGAAAAACATAATCTACACCACATTTTTAATGAAAATTTTCAAAGTACTATTATTGTTTTTAATCAGGCATTTAATTATTAACATTTTACATTGATGTAGCACAGAGGTCAACTATACCAAAAGACTAGTGGAAGAATATGGTTAATATCCTTAAGAGCATAAACAAATATAATCAATCAATAGAATTCTAGTTTATCAGACATTATTATATTCATTCAAATAATTCAAAAACGTTGATACTTCTGGTTCTCATGTCGTTACGTATGAAGTTGGCTGTCTTCTGGGTTGTTGCACTATGTAGTCTAGTAGAATTTTACAGACATTTCAGAGGTATTTGCTGACTTCATCATTTATTATTTTACATTACATAAATGGCGATAATTTTTCACACCTAACAAACACCATCATTACTTCAGCCCTGAAGACTGAAGCAGTATGCTCCTCCAAAATGTCGGTATCTACCTATAAGTCCACGTGGTATTACTACCCAGCAGACCAACGTCAACATATTCACTACCATGAAAACATCAAATCTCACACTTCTATGTAATTTCATATTAAACCAAGGAAAATCATGACAGCCATAAAGTTATCTAAGAACAACGTTTCGTTTCAATGTACAAATTTTCATTGTCACTTACTTGGAAGATATCTTGCAAACATCAAAGTGCATCAATGAGAAAAAAAGAAAGTATTCAAATATATTATTGTAATTTCTTTACCTCTTGTGACTGTCATCCAGGGAGGTGTTGTAATTGGTTCAGAATAGGTCAGTCTTTCTGTGACATCCTGAGTTTCACTTGGAACGGTGGTGAAATGATGAATGATGAGTGGTGACACTGTTGATGCACTTGTTCTTGCAGTCTGTTTAAGCTTTGTCACTGGTGGAATTGAGAAAACTACAAGTTTACTTCTTACTTGAGTTACTCTGGGATAATTTTGAGTCACAGGAGTTGTTTTAAGAGTTGTGGAAGATTGTCGTGGCACTAGTAAAGCTGTAGAAATTAAACTTGAGTTCCTACGAATGGGAACTGTTGGCATGTTTAATGCCGTTGAAGCAGTGGACAGTGTTTTAATGTTTAAGATGTTTACTGATTTAGTAACAGCAGTTTTGTTTAAATCTGTCACAACTGGATTCAGGCTTTCAGAAACAGTGAGATGGGACAGCGTGAAGTGTGATGCAGTGGAGGTGGTTACTGGTTTCACAGTGGTAAGTCTTACAGCTGGCTTCTCACTCTGAGAAATTACTAATGGTTTTATTTGTATGTGTACAGCAGTGGGTGGCTGTAAGATTAAAGGCGTAGGATCACTTGGGATAGGGATACGTCCGTTTGACTCTGTTGTTAAACTCAGATGTTCTTTTAATCCATCTTGTGTCCAAAGCGGTACGACGGGTTTGTAATGTATAAGTGGCGCTTCTGTATTTTCCACTGGCTTAGGTAGTTCTGAAGACATTTCGAGGATAAGATTCTTCTGTGTGCTTGGAGGAAATGTTGGCAATTTTACTGATGGGTATGGTGGAAGCGGAGGTAAAGGCGGAGGAGTGTGATATGGACGATTTATAACTGCAGATTTAGAGACTGTCTGTGGCTCTAATGTCACTGAAACAAAAGAAATAAACATACTGGTAAATAAATACAATCATGGCAGAAATAATGTCTTATCCAGCTTTTATTGTTGCGTGATCTTTGCCGAAATTGGAATGTATTAATAAATTTTAGTAAATTTCCTACTGGATTGTTAGGTGTTTGGACCTTGTCCATCATCAAATGTTATAAAATACACAACATTTTGAGAACTGGATCTGTCCTCATCTTCAGGTGTTGTGAAGGAGGCACCTACTCTCTGGGATCCATCAGAAAGAGCTGATCTCAATCACTGGACCAGTGGACACGTGAAGATGAGAAAATATAAAGTCTTTGAAACGTGTATTTCATAACGTTAGACGACCTACGAGGTCCGGAAAACAACAATTCAGATTGTATTACGGCATCGTCAGAAACCTTCAGAATCAATAAATAAGCAAATAAATGGACTGTTTAACAAACAAATTAACAAATTACACTTTAACTTACCCAGCATGCAGTATGATGCATAGTCAACACAGCAAGTCGCTGTTTGCAGACATAACGCATGGCATTCACACTCTGCAAATACAGGTGTCTCTGATGCTACGGCTGTTGTACGAGTAAGTGCAGTGATGGTACTTGTGCATCGTAATCTGCAGCTTTGTGTGCTGTCATAGATCTCATTTCCACCACCATCTGACATAAAAACAAATCAGATTCTTAAAAAAATTATATAAGATAAAATGAAAACAAGACTTTGTATTATGAAAAGTGTTGTCACATAACCATAAACATTTAAAAATTTGTGTTATTACTGTTGATGGGTTTTTTGAGTTCATTAAAGAAACGCTTAAAATGAAAATTTTTCGTTATGTGCAATGATATAATGTTTAAGGTTCAGACTGCTCTGGTATCAAATGGAAGTGTGGCTTGCAGACTAATAACTGCAAAGAAATCATTGGATCAGAAGAAATCTGCTGCTTCCTTTTTCAAACAGAAATTAATTCAGTGAGACAGAATAAATTATAAATAATTGTTAGATGTCAATAAGTGAGATTTCAGGTTTTCACAACAGAAAGTATGAGGATAGCTGTTTTCTGGGATGTTGTGCCACATAGTCCAGTAAAAACATACCAACATTTCAGAGGCAGCAAACACCTTTGAAATATCAAGTAAACTTCTACCAGATTACATGACGCAACAACCCATCTGACAGTCATCATCAGATGTCAACATACAGTGATTAATCCTTACAATGTCAAACACCAGCCCTTTTCAGTCATATAACATTGCATCAAACTGATTTCATTTTATACAAATCTTGTCAGTATCATGCCTTCAACTCCATAGATTCATAATTCTTATATCTCTCTGTACAGGTGGCTTAAAATAAAGAAAGAACTGTCCAGTTAAAAAGTCTCTAAACTGGGTCAGTATTAATGCATGAAGCTTCATAAAGTTATGCTGGCTAAAGTTAAGAATTTATGGAGCTATTTCTCCACTCCCCCATATGTCAGCATGGTGTTGTGCTTAATTAAGCACAATGACAAATTTACCTTAACCTACAGGCAAGTAATAAATATTCCTAACAACAGCCATACTAATTTGAGTCAATACAACTTCTATAAGCTAATTATAGAGACCTTTTTAAAGCACTCCACTCCAATATGTTTGGCATTTAATTTAAAAGGTCCTCTAGCACCAGAAATAAATTCATTTAAATGACACAGAAAATCATTATATCAATAGCGTGAATGCACTGGTAAAACAAAGTCAAACACAGCCTAGTACAATGAAATTAAGATTTGTCAATGAACCTGTTAAGTTTATTTGGACAATTAATTACAGCTGTAAAGTAAAAGTCTCCAAGCTCAGTACTTGTATAAACAGTATATCACTTCAAATGACTCACTTTGATTGACAGATTCTGTAGGAGAAGGTAAATGTGTCACTGATGCCAGACGTTCACTCCCATTTGCAATCTTCACATCATCAATTGCAATGTCACTGACATATCCAGGACCACGAACTGCTTCTATAATCACCTGTGCACACAGTAATGGGTAACGCCGTAACAATCGCTGTGGAAATGTGGAAGCCCTTACACCATTAAGTGATCCAAAAATGACAAGTTCAAAACAAACGTGTCAGTAGCGTCCAAACATTTTTCTCTCGGTGGGAGTTACGGAAACTGACAATTCATTTAAATGACACAGAAAATCATTATATCAATAGCGTGAATGCATTGGTAAAACACAGCCTAGTACATGAACCTGGTAGGTTTATTTGGACAATTAATTACAGCTGTAAAGTAAAAGTCTCCAAGCTCAGTACTTGTATAAACAGTATATCACTTCAAATGACTCACTTTGATTGACAGATTCTGTAGGAGAAGGTAAATGTGTCACTGATGCTAGACATTCACTCCCATTTGCAATCTTCACATCATCAATTGCAATGTCACTGACATATCCAGGACCACGAACTGCTTCTATAATCACCTGTGCACACAGTAATGGGTAACGCCGTAACAATCGCTGTGGAAATGTGGAAGCCCTTACACCTTTCAGTGATCCAAAAATGATGAGTTCAAAACAAACATGTCAGTAGCGTCCAAACATTTTTATCTCGGTGGGAGTTACGGAATCTGATTGAAGGGAGAGGGGAGGAAGAAGTATGGCAGCGAGAAATTATAAAAATGTTCATACAATCGCTACACTGTTTCTATTGCTAAATGGTGATGAATGGACATTTGGAAAATGGAAAGAAATATGGGAGGAATGCATACAATGAAGACATGATCTGAATGATACAGTATTATATTGATGATGGCACCTACATGCATAGAGTCTTTCAAAACGATAAACTTAACACTGAAGAAGC